TGCCATTGTATATTAGTATTTACTTGACTAATAAATTATTTATTTGTATTTTTTCATTTTAGCTCCCCTACAAGACGCAACTGAAATTCAACAATACACAGGTAAGTAAAATTTCAAATGAAGGAATAGGATTATTTATATTGCAAATACATTTGTATGTATGTAGGTATTATAGCATGTTTGAGCTGAAGTATGACCGAGTGAGTGGGCTATTTTATTTGCGGCAAAAAATTAACTATGTCAAATAAATTTTTGTGCATTAAAATATCAGGAGCTACTTTTGTGAGTGAGAAAATAATAGCTTATATATACTAAGTTCACGTTGAGCCTTTAACTCGAGGTTATTGGCCATTTTGGAGTTAAACGTTAAACACTACTCATAAACTCAGGCTTTTGCCATACAAATAATTTTCGTTTACCTCGCCGTAAACACCACTTTTATTTGGAGTTACACCGAATGCAGCCCTTTTTTGACCGAATATGGTTTGTGTATTTGATAATCCAAACCTGCAGGCACATAAGTGTAGAATATCAACAATCTAGCTATGCAAATACCAAAACTGTGGCTCGACAGAACTTTTTGTGCCGATTTCAACCCTACCAAGTAAAAAATAAAGAAGATATCAATGATTAAAGTTAAATTTATTGATTTTTTAAATATTAATATCTGCTGAACAATATAAGCCCTTGACGCCAAAATATAGGTAAAAAACAAAAAATATATAAATATAAGTATATTTTTTTAATGGCTAAAAGGTTATACTGTATACGTCGCGTAAGAGGTATTTAAATCTTTAAATAAGCATCAATATGTTTCTGATCGGTCAAATAGTTTATTATATGTAAATATAAAAAGTATAAAAGTTAAACCTTAATCTCTTTTATTGGCTTCAATTTTTATTTGCGCCAAATAATCTTGGTATGGTTAAAATCAGCATGAAAATTTCTATTTAGCTACATTTTTTATTTCTTTATGGCTAAACGGTTGCTATTCTACACCACGGCTACTTTGGACTATTTCTGTCTCAATCCTGGAGTACGGGAACAGGCTAAATGTAAATAAGAAAAAAGTAAACAAACAAATGTCAAATTAAACTCTGAGTTTATTAAACACCACAATGAGAACACTTGACAGTTGTTCATAAACTCAAAACGTTAAACTCGAGTTAAAATTTCAACGTGAACATGGTATTAGAATGGATGGCTACCTCCAAAAATTAAAGCGCACTTAGACTTAGACAAGTAAGTTAACTATAATTTGATTTGACTGCGAATGCTGGGAAACTGAGTAGCATATGTTGTGNTTCAACGTGAACATGGTATTAGAATGGATGGCTACCTCCAAAAATTAAAGGGCACTTACTTAGACAAGTAAGTTAACTATAATTTGATTTGACTGCGAATGCTGGGAAACTGAGTAGCATATGTTGTGGTACGGTATAACACCGCTGAAAGGGCTTTTAACCTTATAATCGTTCATACAACACCTGCAGTGAGATCTTGACGTGATATTGAGCCTAACCCACCCAACATTGACCGGCTATTACTCCCACTTTTAACGAGAGGTTTGACTTGTGCAGTTTTGACTTGTGCAGACCACCGCCACTTAACTTGTTCTCTAAGGTTTTGCGTTCCAAGGTTTTCGCCCTGCCTAGCTGTCAAAAAAAAAAAAAAACTCGCATATCGCACACCCTCTTCAAAAGAGAGACACAACTCGAAATTTGGCATTTTCAAATTATGCGCTAAAAATGTTCCCAAAGCTTTTATTTACCTTTCAGCAAAAGTTGGTTCAAATGTTTGTTATAATTTGTTTAAAAGCCTAAGGTAAAGTCAAAAGATGTTATGTACATTTGTAAGCCTCGTTTATTTCAGCCGCCTTCGCTTTGAAACCAGTTGAGTGATCTGGCAGCTTAAATTTCAGTATATTTAGTAGAGAATTTCTCACAGAGGAACTTTGCATGTAGCTTCGTTCCATGTGTGAATACGCTTCACAGCGACATGATTCCAGTTACTATACCTAGCTCATATCGCCTGGATGGAATGTTGGAGGTGAAGGATCCAATCGGACCCAGCGGCAGTGCACAGCGATCGCTTGGGGCCTGAATAAGCTCGAAATTTCTTAAGTGTCGGAAATGATGTTTTCACTTACCGGACATAAGCGTTTTCCAGAAATGCAAACGTTTGAAATTAGGTCGCGGTAAGGTACATACATTAAACGCCATGCGCCGGCGAGAACGCAGTGAATATTTCCCAAATAGCTTTGGGCAACTTAGGCACTCACTCCTTGCTCAGTCAGGTCGCCATTATTGGATGACTGTTGGAGATCTTAATTTCTATTCTGTTCAAAATTGCACTTACATACACAGGTCTCAATTCATATGGAATTATGCGGCAATAAAACAGCGGATGAACTAGGGTGGTCCGGCTCTGAATTCAATTTGTGGACATGGTTATCTCATTTGCGGAAATCAAAGCTGAATTACCGAAATTTAAAAATCAAAGACATAGCAGAGGTAGAGCTGCCCAGGATAGATAAGATTAACAGATAAATATGGAGTCCTTATAACCCACTTACAACCAGAGCTGTATGTCATTTTGAAATTCAGTTTACTTTTTCTTTTATTAAAATATATAAGATGAAGAAAATAATTTTGAACGAATCGCTTTGTTGACTTGAAGCGGTCTTTACATATAGGAGCGTTAGCGATCCTAATTTTTCAAGCCCTAAATTTGATGGCAGGTCTATTAATAAAAGGCCACGCGGATAAATAAATTAATCACAAATATGTTAATTGGTAACGAAAAAAATTATTAGAGTTTAATTTTTTAAGGAGATACTTATACATAAATAGCTGACTTATAAAGATTTTTCGGATCGAGTGAAGCGTAATTAGTTGCTATTCGCTTGTGCTGCTTCTACTGAAGAATCAGTTGTGCAGCCTGCACGAATAAACACTTGAATGCCACATTTGTGATGATATCGCTCTTTTGTGCTATAAAATGCATTTCTTGTTAATAAAAAAAAAAACGGAAAAAACTGCGCGCAGTTGCTAATTGAATAATGTCCATCATTTATGGCAGCATTTAACGCCTTTAAACATGCATTAACACCTTATTAAAATTATTATTTATGTACAAATAACGAAGCACAGTTTACAACAATTGAGTTGTTAATGTAAAAACAATTGAGCTGTTGAAACCAGTGTACAATTAAAGAAACGAAACGACGGAGTTAATGAATTAAACGAACAATGAGTTGACAGTCACACTACATAGTATACATATATCACTCGTTTACTAGAAGACTGCCATAACACAAAAAACTAAACTTTTAAGCAAATTATGCAAAGTTACTCGTTGCATCATGCTTCAGATTGTGTATAAATTTCGTGTTAAAATCTTGTGTTAGTTTCGGCGTAAGCAGAGTTTCATTTTTCCCGAACCGGTTCACTTTTCACTTTTGGTTTTCATGTATTTATTTACTATGAGTGGATGAAAAATTTTCGGGTGAATTTTTTTTTTCGGGCGAAACTCAGGATAAGGCAGAATATTTATCGCTTTTTTCTACATTTTGGAAGTAAATTGGAAGCTTGTTCTTTTGAGTTGTGCTAGTGTTTTATTAAATCAGCGATATGTACATACGCACAGATAAACATTTGAAGTGTCATTATGTGGCAATTGCTGCCACCTTTATAACCCTAAAAAAAAGTATAACAGTTTGGCGCACAAGCTGCTACACCGCAATCCATTTAAAACCTGAATTCATTCATTTTCCCATAATCTCATGAAGCTGTGAAAATCATAATAGCCCCACCAGCTTATCTTGCTGCGATCGGTCATCGGTTAATTCATCGCCTGTCAAGATCGTGAGTATGTTAGGCGGTCTGTGACAGTGATGGAAGAGTTGGTACAATTGTACTTTTTCCAACGCTTTTTTAATCTGAAAGCACATTAAGTACATACATATTTTCGGTACATTAAAAAACCAAACAAATTTTCTAGAATTTTTGATGTATAAACATCTTAACTCTCGGTATGGATGAAATTTTCTTTAACCCAGCAGAAAATTTGCAACTACTTTTGTGTAACCCAGCACAAAATATGTGATGGCTTCTTGTGTATACAAATTAACATATCGGGCTATTTTTGGAACATTTCGGGTCCTTGTTCAGAATCATTTCAGAAGATGTCCCTGACTGTTTCAGAACTATTTCGAGGCTAGTTCGGGAATATTTCGGGAGTAATTCGAGATCATTTCGAGGCTAGCACAAGTCTATTTTAGGTCCATATTGGGACCAATTCAGGACATAGTTATTTAAACATCAAATTTCATGAGTACCTGGTACTCACGGCCTTTTCTCCTTGCAGTTATAGCAACCAAGTGCAGAAGCATCAATCTGATCTTTACTTGCAAAATCCCAATGGCAACAAATCTGGCATACATATGATCAGAAATTTGCTGTAACTGTAACCGNATTGGGACCAATTCAGGACATAGTTATTTAAACATCAAATTTCATGAGTACCTGGTACTCACGGCCTTTTCTCCTTGCAGTTATAGCAACCAAGTGCAGAAGCATCAATCTGATCTTTACTTGCAAAATCCCAATGGCAACAAATCTGGCATACATATGATCAGAAATTTGCTGTAACTGTAACCGTAGCTTTCTTATTTGTCAAGGTTAATTTATGTTCGTTTAGAAGGCCCCCGTTTTCCTGTTTTTTTTTTATCTTAAAGCTAGCGTAAAGGTAAAGTAATTTATGTCGTATATCTACCTCTCAGCAGCCCAGTCATTAGAAAGGATTTGACGCATGACGAGAATGATTCGCCTGTAGCCGGTTTTTGTAACTTTTCTCTACCGATTATTTCTCTACTGGTAGAGAAAATATGTCACTCTCACCTACTAATTAGCAGTAGAGAACAGGGCGGCGAATTCATATCTCAATTCGCCTTGGTAGAGAATTGTTACAGAAACGAGCTACTGATCTAAAACTTTGTTTGGCCTCGAAATTTTTTTCCCGTTCCAACCGAGCTTAACATATTAGAGCAGGTGAATCCTAAAATTAGGCATGGCGTAGTAGAGCCAGATTTCCTTGTGTTTTCGTATTGGCAAACAGCTTTGCCGAAATGTCTAACAAAATGTACATCATAATTTTCTAGTTACATTCGTATTCTTTTAAGTGCAGATTAAATACAATTTAAAAATTTCATTTTCCATCCCAGCTTTGTGGTAAAGCTCACACTGGCTCAATGCGCCGCCGACAGCACCCGCTCTCAATTCGTAAAAATATGTTTTTTCCTAATTTTTATGGCACTTGTTGAACTGTCGAGCGATTTGTTTTCTTTCGAGTTATGAGAACTCATTTGTATATTACTTCGTTGTCTCCTTGTTACCAAATAATAAAAATAATCTATAAATTAGCGTGTAAAACTCGTGCTGATGTCCGTCTACGGCGCTCACATGCTCTTACGTACACAAATAAACAAATCGTAAATTAACTTTTATGCTTTTTACACTTTTTGTTATTGTACATGTGTGCCGACGTGCGTTTGAGTTATGCATACGAGTGNGTTGTCTCCTTGTTACCAAATAATAAAAATAATCTATAAATTAGCGTGTACAACAACGTGCTGATGTCCGTCAACGGCGCTCACATTCTCTTACGTACACAAATAAACAAATCGTAAATTAACTTTTATGCTTTTTACACTTTTTGTTATTGGACATGTGTGCCGACGTGCGTTTGAGTTATGCATACGAGTGAGGGTAGCTACCAAGGCGTATTCAATGTATGTTTGTATATATTTACACTAATCATTTTGTCACATTATTTACGTGCATACATACAGACATGTTTGTAAACTTTGAAATTAATGTGGTCGCGTGATGTACATACGACTAAATACATAGCTCATTAATTTATTGCACTACGAATGTGGATTACTGACACNCATACAGACATGTTTGTAAACTTTGAAATTAATGTGGTCGCGTGATGTACGACTAAATACATAGCTCATTAATTTATTGCACTACGAATGTGGATTGCTGACATATTACTTGCAATTATAATTACATTATGCACATACGTTACTAATTATAATATATCGTGAGCATTGAACAAGTCACAGTAAATATCAATTATTTAATGAAGCCTTTTTGCGCATACATATTACGTATGCACATACATATATATGTACATATACAGGTTATTCAGAAAATATTCAAATGTTTACATTGTGAATGCAATTAGGAAAAATGATGGAAAACTATTTTATAGGAGTTTAGTGGCCTTTCCTGCAAACCGGATTTATTAGTCAAATTCAAAAATGATTTCTCAGATTTTAATACTTTTTGCTTCGTTGAACAAATAAATTTATTATTCTTGTTTGGCGCTGTGACGGCAAAGTTATGGCCAAGTAAAATGAAGCACACCAGTAATTACCTATTTTCAGCGACCGAAAATAACTGTTATGATATATTTCAAAAACCAAAAAGTCAAAGTTTAAAACTTTTCGTGGAAGACAATTGTTGGCGTACTTGTCATTCTCATGATGCCCTCTACAAGGATCAAGGATACTTTTTATTTTTCTAACATTGAAAAAAGTACAATTTTTACTGTTAAAACTGTACCCAAATATTTGTTTTTTTAACAAAAATAAAAGGCTTTGCCAAAGAACAAGTAAACCGTTTAAATAAAGAAATTTAGTACAATTTTCGGAGCAATAATGAAAAAAAATTTAAGTGGCGAAGGGTTAGCGTTGATTTTTAGTACTATTTTTTTTTTTTGCAGAATGCAGTTTTTAGCCCATTACATTTTGGTATAAAAAAATTCAAGCTTGAAATTTCTAAAAAAATCCCGTTAATTTTTTAGATTTTTTTTTCTTGAAGATGTGCCAAAAATCAACAGTAAGTCCTAGCTACTTCAAACTTACACTTTATTTTATTTAATTTTAATAGGTTAAAAACTACATATTCAAAAAACTTCTAAAAAATCTGCTCAAAAAGTNAAAATTCAAGCTTGAAATTTCTAAAAAAATCCCGTTAATTTTTTAGATTTTTTTTGTTTTTTGGAAGATGTGCCAAAAATCAACGTTAAGTCCTAGCTACTTCAAACTTACACTTTATTTTATTTAATTTTAATAGGTTAAAAACTACATATTCAAAAAACTTCTAAAAAATCTGGCCAAAAAGTTGAAAATTTGCATGAAAATTTATTGAAAATGCGAAAAAAATAAAAATTTGCATATATTGTAAAAAATTCTCTGGGTCAATACTTTCTGCTGAGAGTGTATATTTGAATTCTGTAAGTCAAGAACAAACGATTAAGACCAAATTCATTTAATAGGACTAACGGTTCGGTCGCTTTTTGGCCAATACTTTTAGTTTTGTCAACAAAATGTTTGGCTTAGTTTAACTGTTAACATCGGACTGAAATAATAAAAGACATTTGTTTACTGCAATTTTATATCAAGAAAAGATTTTTTGTAGACTTTTATTAAAAAAGTTATAATTGGTTGTGGCCCTGCCTCTTTTGCAAACTGACGCCAAATTAACTGGGAATTCCAAGTGAGCCAAAGCCCCTCCACCTGATCTTTTTAACGCAGAGGAGGCCTTTCTCTTGATTTGCTACTACCATTGGCTACCGCGTGGAATAGTTTCGGTCCGCTCGGAGATCATTTTCGGATAGGTAATTATTTTTCATTCTTTAAAACCTCCGAAGAGCCGATGACTTTCGATCATACTCTTGTGGGTATTTTTTCTCTTTTCTTTTCTTTTTTTTTTGGCCTGAAGCCACTCTGAGAAGACCCAATTAGCTCGTTCACCGGACGCTTCAGTCTTTCACACATTTTCGATACCAACTTGAAGGCGCTAGTTGGCGCATGTAGCAGGGGTCGCCCCATACTGTGATTTTGTGGTGAGCACACTAAAATTTCAGTTTGCAGACATGCGTTCGTCCGACCATATTTCACATCAGGCTTCAGCAGCTTTTTTGTTCTTTAGCCGCGAAATTGCTATTATTATCTCGTCATAGTCGTACCGGCTCGTGCTTATTTTCTCAACTGGTTTCAATGCCATTCAGCAAGGTGGACAATTGTGCCATCAACAATTAAGGCACGCTTTAAACACAGGTCAATAGGTGGCCTTGTTTGTTCTTACAGGAATTTTCGGTGATCTCGTAAGCTCCCTTGAGTTTTTGGAAGTTTTTTTTTTGGTCGGCCAGCACCTTAAACTCCTCGAACTCGCTTATTTGGGCTTCTTTCTCTTTACTGAGGAAAATATTTATGTATCGCTTCCCCTTTTCAGTTCTCCAGGTTATCGATCCCATATACATACATATGTAGCTCGTATTAGGCTCGATTTCACCATCTTCCTCTAGGCGACATCTTTTTTCTAGACAACGGAGTGTTCTTACGGGTTCTATGAAATCCAACTAGATGTCCGTCGTAGAAAAGTAAAGAACAAGAAATTATGTCCGACATCTTTCATATAACGGTTTGTTGAAGAGTGCTCTCATAGGGCAGATATGGGAGTCAATGGTTTGTTGTAATTGCAACATTTCGCCAGCCAATGAAGCTTCATTGTGTTCTTAACCGCATATTTTTTATGGCACAGATTCGACTACGTACACATTTTGACTACAACCAATTAGTGATTTGTGTCACTGTTTGACCCCCGAATCGTACGCAACGCAAGACTAGAATACTGGAAACGTGTTTCTGTCTACGACAACGTGATTCATGACATTTATCATACTATGATCAAGGAACATCCTCATTTCCATATAAATTGCCTTCTGCTGGAGCCATGTTTCGTGGCCTCTGGATTCGGTTACCTGACCTTGACATTTGAAATTGCCTGGTTTGTTCTAGGCGTCGTCTTGGCGACGAATTTGGGGTTCTTTACGTGCTAGATGTAGTAGATGACGCATGATTCCTGGTTTTGTGTACCTAAGAGAAAAGGTGCATTGTGATTTTCATGGCTCAATCAAGTACATAATTGTAACTTATTATCTCAGTCAGAGTGGAAGCCCAGGATAAATGTATTTACACAAAATGTATTCAATTAAAAAATTATTTGGTATGCCATAAACTTACTACTTTAGCAAGTTTTGTTAGGTCGCTCTTGAGATGTGTATGTGCATAATTTCTGAAATGAAATTTTTGCACATGCAGCTTTGCATATATTTGTGTACATGCGCCTTGTATCGGGTTTAGTACTAGTTGATTGGTAGTGTAGCATACCTTTAGGCACTAAGTGTTGTCAGTCGCCTTGTATCTATGACTATGTATGGGTCCATATAACATTTTTTGCCTTAGAATAATTTTACCTTACCCCGGAAGATACTTCCATTCAGAACTTTTATCCTTTTCGAGTTTCTCAAAAGATACAATATTTTACTATTTGTTTCTTCTTCGGTTCTTATGTAGTAGTAAAATTTCACACGTAATCAATTCAACAGCATTGTTACTTACCTCTGTTCCTCGCCTCTGTATAAATTTTTCAGAAGGCTGTTACTACAATTACAATCACTACAATGAAGGCGATAGAATATTAACGAACGAGCCCTGCCTGAATTGTACCTGCCACAATAAGATGCTGATGTGTTATCTGCGTGTTTGCCCATTTACGAAACCAATTGGACACGATTGCATCGTTGAAAAGCGTGAGGATCAATGCTGTCCAATTATCACATGCCCCGAGGGTAAGTTTCCATGCAATTGCTTTGCATTATTGTATTCTATTTATTCTCATTTTCTTCCGAAGTTCCTGTCGATGTTGCGCATCATGTATCTGAGCCCGGCACAGAGCTAAGCATACCCGAGAAATATGGCTGCAGCATCGATAGCAAATTCTACCCCGAAGGCGCACAAGTACCATCAAATCCTAATAAACCATGCGAGCTGTGTTATTGCATTAAGAATCGCACGTCATGTCTAATGCAGGAATGTACATTGCACATTGATGGTTGCACACCGATCTACAATAAGGGATCTTGCTGTCCAGTGCGTTACAATTGCGGTAAGTTAGGCGCGAACGTAAATATGTATGTATGTAGGTATTTAGTGATATTTATTTAATTTTTATTTTTCACATTCTTTCGTATAGATCACGAGAATGACGTTTTGGAGCTGGAGGATCACTCGTCCACCACATCGACCACAACCACAGAGCGCCCAACGCCTNTATGTATGTATGTAGGTATTTAGTGATATTTATTTAATTTTTATTTTTCATATTCTTTCGTATAGATCACGAGAATGACGTTTTGGAGCTGGAGGATCACTCGTCCACCACATCGACCACAACCACAGAGCGCCCAACGCCGGGCTTCATTCTCACTACCACCATGACACCATCGGTCTCCGCAGACTGTGTGCACAATGGCGATGTTTACGCCGATGGCGCCTCCATTACTGGCAAGAGTGCCTGCGAACACTGCTACTGCATGCGTGGAGATATTGTTTGTGCCGTTCAAGAATGCGACATGCCAATGCTATCTAGCAATGGTAAGAGCTGTCATGCACTGCCGCCAGCAGAGGGTGAATGCTGTCCCAGCAATTATGTCTGTGAGGACGATTCAGCCACTACAGAAATCATTGAGGTGACAACTCCGCCGTATGCGAAGGAAAAAGAAGCGGTTACTGCGTCCGCGGACAAGGATCTGCACGGTGCCATACCAGAGGAAGATATTCAACTACAAACACACATTGACGAAGATGAGGAGAAACCTGCCGGTCAAGTTACTACTGCACCTCCGGATCTGGCAATTGATGTCACTGGAGCAGCAGTGACTGCCGCTGAAACACAAGAAGCTGAAAGCGAAAGTTCGACCGAGAGCGCTACAACAGTTAAATCTGAAGTTTCATCTGAAACAACCGAGAAGCAGAAGGAAAAAGAAGAGCCAACAAGTACCGACGCATTTGAGCCTATTTCAGAAGCCACAGCAGAACCTGAGGGTACTAAACGTATTAGCACTGACATTGACGATCATGCGGAGACTACAGCTAAACTTGCTGCCGCAGAAGAAGTGACCACTTCCGAGCCCAGCAGCGAAGAAACGGAAGCTACCACAGTACCGGCTATTAAGGAAGTGGAAGAGAAACCCGCAGTCGAATTCGACGAAAGAATTGATACTGAAGCTTCTAGACCCAGCAGCGAAGAACCGGAGGCTACGACAGTGTCTGCTATTAGTGGAGATAAACATAAACCTGCAATTGAATTCGACGACAGAATTGATGCTGAAACTTCCAGACCCACCATCGAAGAGGCGGAAACCACCACAGTGCCGGCTATTAGAGGAGAGGGCCAGAAACCTGCAGTTGACTTCGGCGAAAGAATTGATGCTGAAACTTCCAGACCCAGTAGCGAAGAACCGGATGCTACCACAGTGCCGACTATTAGAGCAGAAGGGCAGACACCTGCAGTTGAGTACGGCGAAAGAATTGATGCTGAAACTTCTAAACCCAGCAGCGAGGAAATGGAGGCTACTACAGTGCCCGCTATTAGAGGAGAGGAACAAAAACCAGGAGCCGAAATCGACGAAGGAATTGATGCCGGAACTTCTAAGCCCAGCGGCGAAGAAGCAGAAGCTACTCCACCTCCAGAAGTGTCTGTGGTTCCAACCACTGTACCTTCACCAACAAAATCAGATAAGGAAACTAGTCACGAAACCAGTGCTGAGGTTCCTGAGGGAGAGAGATCTACAGAGTCCTCTGAAGGGGCCGCAACGGATCACGAAAAACCTACCACAACTGTGCGACCAACCGTCGAAAAGGAAAGCTCAGAAGAATCGACAGAGTCAGAGGATATTGATGTTACTACAAAGAAACCAACTGCAATTGTGTCCGAGGAAGCTTCAGAGCAACAAGCAAGCACTGAAATCAGCTCAGAGCAAGGTAGCGGCGAAGAATCAACCGAATCGGCAGAAGCTGAATTATCAACGGAAAAATCAACGGAAGCCTCCAGCACCGAAGAGGAAGTGCCAGATATGCAACTGCCTTCTGTTATTCCCGGGGAAGGAGACTGTTTGGTCGGCCATAGAACATACGAAAATAATACTAGCATTCCGACAGCAGATGAATGTGATATCTCTTGCAAGTGCATTAGCAGCATCGTGGTCTGTAATAAAATTGAGTGCGATGTGCCGAAAGACATTAGCAAGTGCATTATCGATCAAGCGAGCACGGACAAATGCTGTCCCTCATTTATCTGTGAACCACATGGCATTGAAACCACAGCGGCACCTATTGCACCGGAAGACGACCAACCAACAATTGCTCCCTTCTCAGATATTGACATACCTGTTGTTCCTACTGAGCAGCCAATGTCACATGTCAAGGAAGAAGACGTGACAGGAATTGTGGAGAGTACGGCAACACCAAAGATTGATCAATCCGACTTGATTACTGAAGATAATGAACAAATTGAGAAGGCCACCGCTGCGCCAAGTGCGCAAGCAGTGCCAGAACAGGCCAGCGACAAAGTGGCAGTTTCACCCGCAGCATCAGTTGACGAAGCTGAAACGGAGAAAGCTACAGTTTCTCCAGCAAAGGGAGCTGAACAAGCTGGAACCACTACAGCTGCACCATCCATCGAGGAAGCTGAAAAGATCACAACTACACCTGTGCTTGAAGGTGAAATATCAGAGGAAAAATCTACTGCTACCCCGGAAATTGCAGAAACTGAAAAGGCCACAATTGCGCCGAGCATTGAGCAGGAAGAAAAGGTGCCAGAAGAGGAGTCTGCAGTTTCAGAAGAAATTGAAAAAGCAACTGCTGCTCCTGATCTTGGTGATGTTGAAGCAGTTACTTCAGCTGCAGAAGAAGTGGAGAAGTCTACCTCTGCTCCTGCTTATGATGATAGCCAAAAGGCTGACGAGCACGCAGGCGTACCCACCACTCTTAATCCGGATCTGGAAGATGTTGAAAAAGTCACTTCTGCTACCACTGCTGGCGAACCAGAGCTTGATGAAGGAAAAGAAAAGGTCACAGTTGCACCAGAAACTACTGAGGGTGAGAAGGCTGCCACGGCCGAAGAAATTGAAACAGAGAAAGCAACTGCTGGCCCAAGCATCGAAGAAATTGAAAAGCCTACACCTGCTTCTAGCTCAGACGTTGAGAAAGGTACAGCTTCTCCGGACACTGAAGAAAGCGGGAACATCACCGCAGTGCCTGATGCCGAACAACCTGTACAATCTACTACCGCTTCTGTTGCTGAGGCTGTCGAAAAATATACTACCGAAAGTGCCGTGGAAGCCGAAAAGTCAACTTCTGCTCCTCTCAGCGCAGAAAGCGAGAGCACTACTGTTGTACCTGTTGTGAAGGAAGACAAAGATGAAGAAGTAGGCGAGAAGTCCACTACTGCTCCAGGCATTGATGAAATTGAAGAAGCTACTGCAGAGCCAGAAATCCATGAAGGAGAGAAAGTCACTCTTGCTCCAGCTGTCGGAGAAACTGAGCAGCCAACAGCCGCCCCTGGCATCGAAGACGCTGAGAAGTCTACTGCTGCTCCTAGCGGTGAAAAAGTTGAAAAGCCCACCGCAGCCCCAGTCCTCGAAGAAATTGAAAAGGTTACTGCTGCTCCTGACGGTGATGTTGCCAAAGAAAGCGAGATAGCCACGGCCGCACCAGGTGTCGAAGAGGAAGAGAAACCAGCTAAGCCTGATGAAGAACAAGTAGCTGAAGTCACTACTGCTCCAGTTGACTCGGAAATTGAGAAAAGTACTCCTGCTATCAGTGATGAAGGAATTGAAAAGGTTACTGCCGCTCCTGCTGCCGAGGAACACAAAGAGGCTACTGCTCGTCCCGACATCAAGGACATTGAGAAGACAACTCTTGCTCCAGTTGCTGAAGGCAGTGAAAGGACTACACTTTCTCCGATTGTTGTGGGTGCCCCTGGTGCTACAGAGAGTGCCCTTGAAGTTGAACAAAGTACTGATGAAGAGGGCATCGCATTATTCACTGGAATTCCACGACTTGATTTGGAAGATGCTGTGCATGAAGGAACAGCTGCTCCTGGGACAGAAGGAGACATCGAAAAGGCCTCACCTGCACCTGAAAAGGTCGCTGGAGAGGAGGAATTCACTCTCAAACCCGATCTTGAAAGTGAAAAGGAAACGGAGGAGTCTACCACGGCTCCTATTTCTGGGGATAGTGAAAAGTCTACTGCTGCTCCTGCCATTGACGCACTTGCGGGAGTCACCGCAGGTACTGAAAGCGAAGAGGGCGAAGGTAGCGGAGAGGCTGCAACTGTTGCAACTGGCGAAGAAGATGGCACCGCTAAAAAAGAAGAAAAGGTTACAGTTGCACCAGAAGTGGAAGGTGAAGAGCCGGAGAGAGGTACTACTGCAACAAGTGCAGCCACAGTTGAAGACATTGCAAATATTACGGCTGCGCCAGGAACCGAAGCCGATATCGAAGAGTCTACATCTGTTTCGGAAGCTATTGAAAAGACCACCCTTAGATCTGATATTGAAGACGTTAAAGAGGCTACTGCTGCCCCTGATGTTGAAAATATTGAAAAGGCTACTGCTAGTCCTAAAGGCGAGCAAGATGAAGGCGCCCCTGGAATCAAAGAAGAAGCAGAAGGTATTGAGAAATTCACCGCTGCTCCTGAAGTTGCGGAGAGTGAAGGCCCGGAGAAAGCCTCCACCGTTCCTGGAACTGAAGATACCGAAAAGGCTACTGCTCCTCCTGGTGCTGGAGATATTGAAAAAGCCACTTCTGTTCCTGAAGTCGAAGAAAACGAAGGCGTTGAGAAAGCCACCTCCACTCCTGGAGTCGAAGATATTAAAAGTGCTACTGCCGCCCCTGGTGCAGAAGCAATTGAAAAGGAGACTGTTGCTCCTGAATTGGAAGAAAGCGTCGAGAAACCCACCACCGCCCCTGGAATCGATGATACCGAAAGCGCTACTGCTGCTCCTGGTACAGGAGAAATTGAAAAAGCTACTGCTGCTCCTGAAATCGAAGAAGGTGAAGGCGTCGAGAAAACTACTTTCTCTTCAGCAAAAGATGATGTTAAAAAATCCATTCTTGCTCCTGAAGTCGAAGAAGTAGAAAGTGTACCTGGTACCGAAGATGTCGAAAGAACTACTGTCGCTCCTGGTGCAGGAGAAATCGAAAAGGCTACTGCTTCTCCTGAATTCGAAGAAGGTGTCGAGAAAGCCACATCTGCCCCTGCAATCGAAGATGTCGAAAAAGCTACTGCTGCTCCTGAATTGGAAGATGGCGTCGAGAAATCCACATCCGCCCCTAGAGTCGAAGATGTCGAAAAAGCTACTGCTGCTCCTGAATTGGAAGAAGGCGTTGAGAAAACCACCTCCGCCCCTGGAATCGAAGTTACCGAAAGCGCTACTGCTGGTTCTGGTGCAGGAGAAATGGAAAAGACTACTGGAGCTCCTGACGTCGAAGAAGGTGAAGGCGTCGAGAGAACTACTTCCGCTCCAGCAATCGAAGATGTTAAAAAATCCACTCTTGCCCCTGAAGTCGAAGAAGGAGAAGGTGTACCTGGTACCGAAGACGTCGAAAGAGGTACTGCCGCTCCTGATGCAGGAGAATTCGGAAAAGCTAGTGCTGTTCCTGAATTGGAAGCTGGCGTCGAGAAAGGCACATCTGGCCCTGGAGACGCAGGTATTGAAAAGGCTACTACTGCTGCTCCTAAATTGGAAGAAGGCACCGAGAAACCCACTTCCGCGTCTGGAATCGAAGATGTCGAAAAAGCTACTGCTCCTCCTGAATTGGAAGAGGGCATCGAGAAATCCACATCCGCCCCTGAAATCGAAGGTGTCGAAAAAGCTACTTCTGCTCCTGAATTGGAAGAAGGCTTGGAGAAACCCACATCCGCCCCTGGAATCGAAAAAGCTACTGCTGCTCCTGGAGAATTTGGAAAAGCTACTGCTGTTACTGAGTTGGAAGGTGGCATCGAGAAAGTCACGTCTGCCCCTGGAGATGAGGATATTGAAAAGGCTACTACTGCTGCACCTGAATTGGAAGAAGGCGCCGAGAAACCCACTTCCCCGGCTGGAATCAAAGATATCGAAAAAGCTACTGCTGCTCCTGAATTGGAAGAAGGCATCGAGAAAGCTACATCCGCCCCTGAAATCGAAGGTATCGAAAAAGCTACTTCTGCTCCTGAATTGGAAGAAGGCGCCGAGAAACCCACATCCGCCCCTGGAATCGAAAAAGCTACTGCTGTTCCTGAATTGGAAGGTGGCATTGAGGAGGGCACATCTGCCCCTGGAGATGAGGATATTGAAAAGGCTACTACTGCTGCACCTGAATTGGAAGAAGGCGCCGAGAAACCCACTTCCCCGTCTGGAATCGAAGATGTCGAAAAAGCTACTGCTCCTCCTGAATTGGAAGAAGGCATCCAGAAATCTACATCCGCCCCTAGAATCGAAGATGTCGAAAAAGCTACTGCTGCTCCTGAATTGGAAGAAGGCGTCGAGAAACCCACCTCCGCCCCTGGAGTGGAAGATACCGAAAAAGCTACTTCTGCCCCCGAATTGGAAGAAGGCATCGAGAAAGCCACATCTGCCCCTGAAATCGAAGGTGTCGAAAAAGCTACTTCTGCTCCTGAATTGGAAGAAGGCATCGAGAAAGCCACATCTGCCCCTGGAACTGAAGATATCGAAAAGGCTACTGGCGCTCCTGAATCGGAAGAGGGAGTCGAGAAAGTTCCTTCCGCCTCAAGACCCGAAGATATCGAAAAAGCTACTGCTGTTCCTGAAGTCGAGGAACCCGAAGGCGTTGAGAAAACCACATCCGCTCCTGGAATTGAAGGTGTTGAACTGGCTACAACTATCCCTGATGCAGGAGCAATCGAGAAAGCCACTGCTGTTCCTGAAGACGAAGAAAGTGAAAAGGCCACTATTGCCCCTGAAGTTGGAGATGTTGATAAAACCCCAGCAGCTCCAAGTGTCGATGAAATTGAAAAGGTTACTGTCGCCCCTGCTGCTGAGACAGAAGAAGTCGAAGGAATCGAAAGGACGACTGCAGGTCCGATTTTGGATGAGTTCGAAAGGACTACTACTCCCTCTGTTTCCGAACATGTGGATGAATTCAAAAAGACCTCTGTTGCACCTGCTACTGAAGGTATTGAAAATGTTGTTACAACTTCTGCAGCTCCAACTGTCGATGAAGGATTCGAGAAGGCAACAGGCGTCACTCCCTTGGAGACTGGAGTTGTTGTGGATAACGAGAAAGGTTCCCCTGTCGACGAAGATCGGGAGGGTGTTACTATTGTTCCTCGCCTGGACTTGGACCTTGAAGAGGCGACCGTTGCTTCTATCGCGCCAGAAGGTATGCAAGAGATTGCAACACAACATCCAGAAATTAGTAAGACAAAAGCTTCCCCAGCTCCTGGTGTAATAGCTGATTTAGAATCAGAGGAGGAAGGCGAAGGCTCCGTAGAATCAGAGGAAGAAACTTCAACTAAACACACAGTACAGCACATTGCCGAATTTGTTACGGATCATGGCTTGCCAAGCACAACCGAAAGTGCAGTGAAACCATCGAAAACTGATGATTTCGAAGCTTCAGGCGAGGAAGGGGAAAGTATAGAGGATATTACAGTTAAACCTACCTCGGGACCACAATTAATTGGAGAAGACATGGTTTCAGTCACGGAACCAGCCGATACTAACAAGGAGTCAGTCACGGAGAAACCTGAAGAAGAAGAACAAAAACAAAAAGGTGAAGTCACCAGTGAAGCCAAACCTGAGGACAAAGAACAATCAACAACAATCAGAACTCATTTCGAAGTCGGCGAAATTACAACGGCTAAGCCTGAAAGCGAAAAACAAACGGAGGAAGATCAAATCACACCTTCCCCCGAAACTGAAGCTGAAGGAGAAAGACAACCAACAACGATAAAACCTGGACTTGAATCTGACGAGAAGATACAGCCTCCCACGGCTATTCCCGAACTTAAACCTGAAGAAGAGAAACAACAAGAAGCAGCTCAGCCGGACTCCGAGTTCGAGACAGGCGACGGAACACAACCCACGACACTGCATCCTGATGTCGTAGCTGGAGAAGATTCGCAAGCAGCAACAACAGCCACTCCTGAATCCGAATCGGAAGAAGACAAAGAATCCGAATTGCCAGAAAAGAAACCCTCCGCCACAGCTGCCCCTGAAATTACGACGGACGAAGAAAAACAAACAGTGACGGCGGAACCTGAATCAGAGGGTCCTGAAACTCAACCTCAGGAAGAAAAACAAACAGTGACTACGAAACCAGAAGCAGAAGAAGAGAAAGGACATACCACAGTAGCACCTGATGTTGAATCTGAAGAAGAGGAGCAACCAGAGACATCTAAACCTGAAGGTGAAGCGGATGAAGAGAAACAACCTGCCACAGCTGCCCCTGAATCTGAATCTGATGAGAAACCACAACTAGCAACAGGCAAACCGGGTGAAGAAGCCGAAGACGAGAAACAATCAGCCACAGCCGCCCCTGGAGCTGAGTCCGAAGAGGAAAAACAACCAGCGACTGTCAAACCGGAAGGAGAAGCGGATGAAGAAAAACAACCTGCCACAACCGCCCCTGAAGCTGGGTCTGATGAGGAAAAACAACCTGTCACAAGCGCCCCTGGAGCTGAGTCCGAAGAGGACAAACAACCAGCAACTGTCAAACCGGAGGAAGAAGCGGAAGAAGAGAAGCAATCTACCACAGGCGCGCCTGAAGCTGGATCTGACGAGGAAAAACTACCAGCAACAATAAAACCCCAGGCCGAGGAAGAGAAAGAACATATCACAGTTGTCCCAGGAACTGAATTTGAGGAAGATCAACAAGCAGTGACGGCCAAGCCGGAGACTGAAACCAAAGATGGAGAAAAGGAGGCTGTCTCATCCACTCCAGTTTCTGAGGCCGAGGCCGACCTCCAACCAGCTACAGACAAGCCTACACTTGAAGCTGAAGAAGAGAAACTGGCTGTCACAGTTGCACCTACGGATGAAACTGAATTTAAGAAAGAACAAGGAGCAGTAACAGCAACTCCTGAAACTGAATCTGAAGTTGAAGAACCACTAGTTACAATCAAACCTGCATTCGAATCTGAAGAAGGCAAACGTCCAACAACCGAAAAACAAGAAGCCTCCGCAGAGGTCGCCATCAGTTCTACCGAGAAGACCTCAGCCGAGCAAACAGATGTCAGCACAGAGGAAGAAAAGGAAAGCATCGCAACAACAGTTCACCCACTATTCCCACACATTGGCACAACACTGCCAACACCAGCGATCGACAGCCGGATCGACATCGCTAATGCAACATCACAACCCGAACTTGCAACAGAAACAACAACGCCGACAAATCTCATCAGCAGCGATGTGCTCATTACCACACAGCCAACAATCACACACTATCCACCACCAGCACCTGTATACGGTCAGTATCCATCCTATAACGATGAATATCCCGACGAAGACGAGTCAGAAGTATTCGGTCCTGGCACTTGCCGTTATGGCGGCAAACTTTACGTCTCAGCGCAGCAAATACCACGAGACGATCCTTGCGATTTCTGCTTCTGCTTCAGAAGTGACATCATTTGCTTGCAACAATCTTGCCCGCCACCAATTTCCGGCTGTCACGAAGAACCTATCTCGGGCTTCTGCTGCCCACGATACGAGTGTCCCGTGTCGATGGCAACCGTACTGAATATCACCACCAGTACGACAACGACGAGCACAACACTGCCGCCACATTTCCTGCATCACTCATATGGCGGAGCGGTGCAACGAAATGGCTGCCTAATCAATGGCAGATCGTACAAGGTCGGCGAGAAGATCGAATCGACGAGCGGTCCATGCATCAATTGCACGTAAGTACCTAGCGAACAAAGGTGTAAAAATGTTTGCCGAAAAGAGTTTCGCTTTAATGAAATTTTTCTCGTTTTTGCTTTTCAGTTGCGGTGGCGATGGAAAAATGAAATGTGATCCTCAGGCGTGCGTGCCCGAACCGACGATGCAGCAAGTGATGGCTGTCGTTGCGACCGGCAGGAAAAGATGAAATAATCGCTAAGCATAAACGCTTACAAATACAACACAGCAGATACAATCACACTACTCACAATTAAAAACCAAGAAAGACTAGTGAACAAAAAGAATCTGCAATCCCGGTGCCAAAACCACAATGAAATATTACAAGTACATACATATATGAAAATATTGTAGAGGAAGAGAAAGTTGTAGAAGAAAGCGATAATTGCATGCAAAGTTTTCGAGGGAAAAATGAGTTAGGCACGCACACATACATACATGCATACAGACATATCGACGTGTGTGTTGTTGTTAGTGGGGCTCCTTTTTTTCTTTGAATGCATACACCCTTATTAATTATACGATATGATGCCGATGATGATAATGATAATGATGACGTAGATGTAAACTAAACATATTTATATAAAAAAAAAAATCAGCTAGCATACGAGCAAACAACCAGTGATATTGTGCTGTATACCTAGTATAGGTGCAATTAACAATTTTTGTAATTAAGGACGCACTTACTTAAGCGAACTTTTTCGTTTGTAATTTTGTAATTGTAAAAAAAAAACAAAAAAAAACAAAAAAACAGAATAGGAAACAAAAAAACGAAAACCCTAATATAAATAATTTAGTATAAATATAAATTATAGTAATGTTTGTAACGTCGTTCTTTGTGCATGAACGATTGCGAAGCGGGGCGACGAACGAAAAATCTATACATACATACATATGNAAAAAAAAAAACAAAAAAAAACGACAAAACAGAATAGGAAACAAAAAAACGAAAAACCTAATATAAATAATTTAGTATAAATATAAATTATAGTAATGTTTGTAACGTCGTTCTTTGTGCATGAACGATTGCGAAGCGGGGCGACTACGGAAAGCATAGTGCATACATATATATATAGTATGTATATTAAAACACAATTCAAGAGACTCTCAAGCACGAAAAATCTATACATACATACATATGTAGTTATAGTATATTAAAATGGATTAAAGACACTACACAGCAAGCATCGTGCGACGCATATTGTGGCTGTTACAAAGAATAACGTTATGAACTAAAATAAAAGCTTTGCCATTAACTACATTTGTACTGCTATGCTATTAGCTACACTCTAGCGCCTAATTGTAGGCTATAATTTTTCACATTTTTATTTTGTAAATTTGCATGTACTTTCGCAAAATTTGCAATTAACTTTTTAAGTTTTTTTTTTTTTTTTGATACATACTTATTTAAGTTGTAAGGTTGCTACTAGTCTTCTCTCCTTGTACAAGCAACAACGCAAATCGAAACGATAAACAAATTTTAATTTTTTTTTTACTAATTTTTCAACGCTTCAAGTGCTGTATATTCAAGTTCCCTTAGTATATTTTTTTAAACTAAAACTAAGCAATTTTTTCACAACAATTTACAACGCAAGTCAGGATATGCTAGGTCATAAGACAGACATATGTATGCCCCTCAAGCTTAGATTTACCATGCACAGTTATGCGCACAAATGTTTACAAACGCACAGAAAAGCTCTAAACTGCTTGCAAGCAGGCAAAGAAAGCTGAACAACGAACGAGAACGCGTGGCCGAGCAAGATGAGCGTGGACGAGCAACGAGCTGCCGACGAAATGCTGACAAGAAACAAAAAAAAAACGCATATAAGCAACTACTTAAAAAACGTTGTATTGTAAAAAAATATAACATAAAATAGCACAAAAACATAGTTTAGTAAACAAACATACATACACTTACACAGATGAAACAATAAATAACACTAATGCTCGACTGATTGAAAATTTTTTAACCTTAACCATAAACTCGTAGTCGATAATAGAAATCAATAAATAATATAATAAGTAAATTTGTATGTAAGTTTATATGTACATATGTACTAACTATGTAATTAAAAAGCGTACACAGTAGCAATGAACTTTTCTATACATTCAATGAAAAAAAAACTTTTTTAAAGAAACTAAAAGTAATGCGCAAGTGTATGTAACGTTATGTCGAAAGGCTGGCTTTAGTATAATGCGGCATTCGCAGCATACGATTGCGAATGACGCACTGGCGACGAGCAGTTCAAGAACTTTGGCAAATAAAAGTTCCGATACAAGCAAGCCAATATCCACCTTTTTAAGTCTCATAAACAATTCTTTATCGTTTAATTATACTAAGTCAGCCTTTCGACATAAGCTACTAAATATTCCATGCGAACACAGAAATATAAAAGTAATACTTAATTATAAAGAAAAAAGTAGCAGAAATAGAGGTGAAGTATCAGTAACTTTTAATGCGATTTTCAGTCACTTGAGCTTTAGCAGCGAATTTCCTTGCGGCAACTTTCCAAACGCACAGAAATGTTCGCTTTTTATTTTATTTAGTAGGTTAAAACGAAAAAAAAAACACACAATATATCAAAAATTGATATTATTATACATACAGACATGTAGAAATAACAAAAAAAAAAACTGAGAAAACGAAATAAATATAAACAGAGCGAATAGTTCTTAAATATATAAAAACACAATTTAGTTTTATCTACAATTATGTAAACGCATAAAACGCACGTGCATAGCTTATTGACAATTAAATAATAATAATAACAAATAAATGCACAACAACAATAGACCACTTATGATAAAAAAAACCCAAACTTAGATTTTATATAACAAAAATAGTGTAACATTTTAAAGTACGTACATATATAAATCAACATGCGTATGTATGTATGCACGTATGCATACTTATAAAAACTTGTATGTGAACAGCTCTTGGATTTCTCAAGCTAATACGTTCGTTTTTATATTTAAATATTTTTTAATCACTTTATTTGCCAATATGTATATGTAGTATATTCTGTACACTTCATACTTGTCAGACAAGAATTGGGCTTGAATCAATATTGAACATAAACTAAAATAAAACAAATCTAAAATATAAACAATTATATTCACGCGTGTTCACGCAATTGTAGATATTAAAATGCGTCATTAATTATTTCTGTTTTAGTTTTTTTTTTTCTTTTAGTGTTTTTATAAATCAGTTCTAGCTGTAACTAAATACGATAAGTAAAATATATTATAATAATTTTTTATATTTTGTTCCAAATAAAAGACGATAATAAATTATTGTATGAAATGTAAAAACTTTTGTTTTTCTTCAAACAAAAAAAGAAACAGGTATGCGAATCCAAAATTTGCAAAAACTCACAAGTTTCATAAACGGGAGATCTAATGGTTGTTTATATAGCAAAGCGCGAAACAGGAAAACTGCAAATTTAATTGTATAAGATTTTTTCAAATAATTTGCTAAGATCATGTGAAAAATTACTATTTTCTTACAATTCTGACCAATCGTTTCCTTTTTTTGATAAAGGAATGGTGTTAATATTTCTTGGCCGAGCTTAATCCAGTCGAAATAGGTAATTTTATTTTCACAAATGCTTACGGCAATTCATTCAGAGAAATACATCGATACAGGTTTCTTTGTAATTCCATTTTTAAATTTCATTGGAAGCATTCGGACCAGGGATGTTGCGAATGTGGAATTTTAGACATCCGCGGATGCGAATGCGGATACGAATATCTAACAGCTAACATCCGCGGATGCGAATGCGAATGCGGATGTCAAGTATTTTTAAGAAACAATTAGAATCTAGCATAATGGCGAGGCCAAACCAGATGTGTCAGGTTTTTCCAAAGTTTTTAAAAAGAATTCTTCATTCTCATCACTTTGGCTGTTTCGAATTTAAGGAATCTGTAACTTCATCAACGTTTTTCGATGTAATTTCTGTAGTTAATTTTTAATACTTTCTTCTGCGACTGGTTTGAAAATTTAGTGCTTATAGCGAGCTAAATAGGTGGATATGAAAAATATATTATTATTTTCCAGGAATGAAAATTTTGAACAAAATTCTGTTTTCAAAGTCGTGGCTGCCAGCCGAATCCGATCATTGATTATTGCGAATGCGAATGTTGAAATTAATGCGGAAGTTCCGCGGTTGCGAATGCGAATGCGAATATTTGCAACAATCCTGATTCGAACCCATTTTAAAGTCCTTAAAGTTTTAGAAGTCTGAATCGTAATCCTCGTTATGGGCTGAGAAAGCGTCATAAAACAGCATATTTCCCTTCTTAGAAGGAGTCATATTGGACGCTTTTCTGAGTCTTAAATGCAAATATACTTTATAGCTCTGATTTTTAATAAACTTTTACTTCTACGTGAACTTTTTTACTTATGTTCAAGTCACAATTTATTACACCAAAAAGAGTAAGAAATGAGTCAGTCTGTTTGACTGGCCTCAGAATTTTATTTATAAAAAATTTACAAGTTTTCCTAATATCACATGATATTTTGTCTTAAATTTCAATAGAATTGTTGCTCATGTATACATGCATATTTATGAATATGGGCATATGCTACATAAATGCCCAAAGATGTCAGGTTCGTTTTATGAAAATTTTCTGGATATATAAAAATAAACTTCCTCTATATTGCTTGTGTAAGCAAATGCAAAGCCAACCGTGCCAAGTAATGTTAAAATTACTTATTTTAATGAAGTTTTAAAACAAACTTAAGCAATTTGCAATGAAAAGAGTGTCCACTGGACTTTGCGGGAGCTCAAAATTTGTTGTGATTGAAAGATAAGCTCATTTGCAGCACCACTTAACTATATATACTTATTTTGGTAAAATACAAGATTTCCATAGTTTTATTAGCTCTGTAATCTAATAAAACCGGGAGTGCTTCCGATGAAAACTGCCTTCAATCAGGTAATCTACTACCGAGTTCGTATTTTAGCAATAATACGTAAACAACACAAACAGCAAACAATTCCTTTTAGTGCATACATATATTATGTAAATAAATGCCTCGTTAAAAACATTTGTGCTTGATTAAATCTGCAATCTTATTCGTAATTTTAAGCGGAAATGTATATCTATTCCTCGCTTTCTTGTACTCGAATCTAAAATCGGAACTTAATCGACATACATCAACGGGCTGTGTTTAGTAAGCACACCGGCCGAAGTGAGTCGGCACAAGCAGTTTCGTTATGCGATAATTTATTCATTTATTTAGTTATTTATGCGATAATCGTTGAGCAGTACGCAAAATTATTAAAATGATAAGTTATATAATGCTGAACAGAGTTTAAATAAAAATTTAATTTTAAAACTAATAATCTCTGAAACCAACCTAACAAATTTCTTGCAATCGATTTCTTTCTAAAAATTTCATCGATTAAATAAATGATCGAATATTAAAACAGCTGTGCAGTGACATTTGCTTATTTTTCAATTAGCTATATCCCACTAGTTTGCTAATAATTTCTAGTAAATAATCCTTTAAATATGAGTAACAAATTAAATAACAAAGCGGGTGAGATTGTCGCTTATAGTGAAGCCGCCATACGCGGAAATATATCTGCCGTGGAGTACTGCCGCACTTCAATGGCTGCTTTGTCCGGATGCGCTGCCGGTAGGTGTTCATACAATTTATTTACTAAATTTGCACATATTTATAGCGAATAAATTAATTCTAGGCATTCTGGGGCTCAACGGTTTGCTTGGTTTCCTCTTCTATTTTGTGTCCGTCTTCGTATTGTGGCTCTTGGTTTTGGCGAAATCAGGTACTCAGTGGCGCAAATTTTTCATCAATCGTCAGAGTCTTTTGACTAATAACTTTATGGGCGGCCTATGCACTTATGTGCTCTTCTGGACATTCTTGTACGGCATGGTGCACGTATATTAAACTAAAATTATCTTTACCCATTTTTTCTGTAAAAGCTTATAACATTTTTTATTGAACTAAGGAACTATAGCATAGTACGTAAAATATTAAAATTAAGATACATAAAACCTAGACAAGAACTTTATTACTAGTTTATAGCACAGTCGATTTAAAAGCAAATCAAGTTGACACAGCAGAAGCAACTGCAGCATTACCAGAGCAGTCGCACCAAGGGGTGTCTGCCAAGTCGCATTCGAGCAAAATGTTTAAAACTGTTATGGAAATTCCATCGATAGACATTTCTTGTATTTTTGATATTTTATATTTCAGCGTATTAAGACCAGTTTGTCGGTCACGTTTTCTAGTTATCTCCTTCTGGTTATAACATTTCTGGGTGTCACGCTTGCGGTGATAGCGATTGTGTATATGACTGCAAGGGTACAAAAATATTAATAAACTATTGATCTTAAGATTTTTACAAAACATACGTAAATGTGTCATTTACACCAGTTTTAATATTTTCCGGCCGTGTGACTCTTAAACCTGCATCTCTAATGCGAACGTAAAACTCATCATCCTCTAAGCCCCATCCCCAGTACTTATTTGACATACCGTTGACTTGTTCGAAATGTTCACAACGCACAAGTAATATTCCACCGACAAACGTTTCATAGTGATACTTCGGGTGTAACTCAGGTGCAGCTATATGATGTGGACCCGCATCGCTGGGATATTTGTAAATCAATGCATCATTTATAGGCAATAAGTCTACATCATGCATGGCAATATAGTCGTAGACTTCACTCGTGAATCGGAAACCGACATTTATAAGGGAGGCACGATTAAAGCGGTATCGATCGATTTGATTAAGTAGAAAGATTTTGTGTTCAATGCCTTGTCGTTGAAGGAACTTTGTCATATGTGGCACGAATTGAAGTAACTCCTCGAAGCGATCTCGAAACGGCACTAGTACTGCTAATTTATGAATGGATTTCGGCGCAGATTCTTGAACACCAACAGGCACTTTATTGAGTTCTGAACTAGCCTTGGTACGTCCACGGCTCAGTGGACATATGCAATCTACAAAAAGAGCATGCTTGTGTAATTGCAAATTTAAATCAAATCCATGTATGTATGTATTTTGAATTACCTGAGCTCAGCGGCATAAAACTCAAAACCACTACTCCCCCCATGCAGAACGCCAGCCCACACACAAACAACCAGTTGATGGTTCCCATTGGTATCATTGTTGCTATGTTCTTCACTCCTTTCGTAAACGCTTAATAAATGGCTTAACTTTAAAATATTGCATTCTCAGTGATGAAAAGTCGAAGATATTCAAAACTTTATTAATTGAACCGAAAAAATGTATAGCGCTTACTTATATTAGCTATGGTTTAAAAATATATTTACATATTGAGGTTAAAATTAAACATTCGCCAGCTGATAATATGTTAGTGTTGCCAGAAAATTACTTTCGTAAGTTTTTTTTTAATGTTTGTGAGCCATGCTAGAGGTGCAATCCCATATTTCTCGGTCTAACTAGCAAAACTGTAAAAAAATAAAAATTCGCTAAAAGCGAGAGAGTTAAGCTGTCTTTACATGAGGCGATTCAACATTGCTCTGGAAAAATCGCTCGTTTAAATAGTGATTAAAAAATCGCTTCCTTCATAGTAGACAGCAAGTCAATTTTTGCATCCGATTATCGCCTGCCGAAAAATCGCCTCATGTAAAGGCAGCTCAACATTGAAGTGCATGGGATCGCTTTTTAGTAAAAAATGTTAACTTCTGTCAACTTCAACATAACCCCAAAATTTTAGTTGTAAATTTCTGCTTATTTTGTATGTAAACACACTCAGCTCACACAGTAAATAACCAAAAATATTTAAAATTCATAAGAATCCACTTAAACAAGTAATTAAATACTTTTCAACAGGAATTAGCGGAGTGTAATTTTCTTTTGGTTACAATTTGGTTGCCAAACACACTACAGCTGATCGTTTAACACATTTACCAGAATTTACCACCAACAAATTTTCCGACTAAATCTGGTAACTTCTGACAGAGAGAGGACTTACTTACTCTCTTTTTGGTCCTCTCAATGGTCAGAGAACCGAGTACGGGATCGATTTCCAGTAAAATCTGACTATTTCTGACTAGTCCGGACTCCTACGGGATCGCATCTTAGATAGAACTTCTTCTCGTTGTTGTTGTTGTAGTCCTACAACAACCCCGCCCTACTAGCGGTAACCCCAGTAAAATTGCAGCCTCTATGGGGTCTGTCCATAGGGACAGGGGCGTGAGTTGGATGGGGTTCAGGCGGCATGCGAAGAGATGCTGTGAATCATGGGGCGTCTCTCCTTATGCCGGGCATTCATTTAGCACATCTCCGTTTATTCTGCTCAGGTATGAGTTCAACTTGCTGTAGTAAACAGAACACAGTTGTGCTATTGTGGTCCGAGTCTCCCGAGGCAGACAAAGCTCTGCCTCCTCCACGTCTAGTAGTTGTGTGCCCAGAACGGCATTCACAGGTCGAGAGGCTATATAACTTGGGACTGAATCTCTGTGAATGCCGTTCACGGCCTGTCGACAAGCCGCGGGTCCAGCGATTGTTTGATGAACCTCTGGACATCGTCCGTCAGTTCGTAGAGATGCCTCCTGACGTGCCTGGGCGAGGGATCTTCTGCAGGCAGTTGTCTTTTGGGTAACCACATCTGTGTCTTCTGACTAGAAACTTTTTGCAGAGAATTGTGTTGTGCTCTTTAATGGGGAGCATATGGGCCTCGTCCTGCAGACGATGTTCTGGCAACATTAAAACGCATCGCGGTCCTGAGTGCCGTGTTTTGGCAGGTCTGCAGCTTCATCCACTACATGCTACTACCGGCGACTACACAGGCGTTTCATAGTTCAGAACGGGCCGGCCAATTGCCTTGTACATTGCTAGCCACGTTTCTATGGGCTGGTTTCTCCAACTCAACTTAACTTAGTTTAGCCATTTTTTGGACTTAAGTCAAAAGTTAGCCTAGGTTTTACACAGCTTATTCTTGACTTAGTCATGAAAATTGGCTTAACTAAGTTAAGTTGAGTTGGAGAAACCAGCCCTATGTCTTTGCCCCAGTTGCTGCCGGTTAACGACTTAAGGACCTTGTTGCGTCTTTGTACTTTGTTGACAATTGCGTTTGTATGCGCTGAGAGGGAGCGGTTACTCCGAGGATCTTCGGGTTGTTCACCGTTGCGATTGATTCGTCATCACGTGAATTCCCAGTTTTAGTCTGACCTGCTTATGTGTGTTGCTGAGGATTTTGTAGGGGAGAGGGTTAGGCTCCTAGCAGTGAAGAAGCGAGAAAGCTCGGAGAGGTAACCGTTTACTTTCGAGCACAAGTCATCAATTCCATCCCCAGACGCCATTATCAAACAATCGCAATCTGACGGTTAAGGGAGCTTGGAAATATAGTAGTTAAACAGTAATGGGAAAAGGACATCACCCTGTGGAACTCCCTGTTTTGTTTCTCTAGATTTTCTCGATTTTCCTCTAAACATTGCCGACGAGTGTTGGCCACTCAGATAATTCGCCGACTACCGTTTGAGTCTCTGTGGGAGAGATACCGCATATATGTCTTTTAGTAGCTTGGAGTGACTGACGGTATCAAACGCCTTTGACAGATCCCACGCTACTAGAATAGTTCTATCACAGGAGGGGTTGCAGTATAGGCCACGTGTATTTGCTCCCGGAAAAGGAGTGTTATCGGGCGATAAGACTCGCCTTTGTTGGCTGGTTTCCCTGGTTTGAGCAGCGGGACCACTCTCCCCGTCTTCCAGATGTCTGGAACGACGGGAGTAGCCATTTACAGATTGAGCGGGGTTTGTGACCGTGCAGCGCAAGACGGGCCCCCGAAATTCCTCGTCCAACCTCGCATGGAGCGCAGACCAACCAAGGCAGGTGTGGCACTTGACCGATGTCACATTACGGAATATTCTGGACTGAAACACCGTGCAGATTGTTTGAGGAACCAGGAGTTGTTGGCGGCGGCGTGTGGGTGGTATTGTGCCTGTGTCTGTTGTATGTCGTGGTTGTGGTGTGATCTATTGTGTTGTGGTGATGTGGTGTTTGTGTTGAACTGCTCAGGCGGACTGGGGTTTGCCGTGGAGGCAGTTCTGTTTGAGCAGGAGGGAGGCACAATTGATGTGGTCCACTGCCGATGAGTACGTAGGCCTGAGCAGACTCTGAGGTAACTCCACCCATTGCAATCGTTGCGCTTGACTGAGGTAGAGTTGTGGTGTAGTCGTCTCTGCATACACTGGAGGTGTAAGTTTCTGACCCAGGATTTGACTCGATGCCAGCCCTGAGCAGAAGAGTACGTAGCAGAT